CACTCACCATGGGCATGCGAGAGCTGGCCCTGACCCTCACCCAAGGGGTAGATCTCAGTGAAGACCCAGACTGACCAAGTCATCTACCACCCATGCCCATATCCAGAGCTTTGAGGTGTTCCACTCCAATATCCACCCCATCTATGACCTGTTAGAGCAGGTGAAGTATTCCTGTAGAACCATAGTGACAGGACCTCCATGACTTAGGGAAACAGCAAAATATCCAAAAGAAGTTTTGGTAAGGGTCCAGTGTTAACTGTGTACCAGAAGCCAGAGGCCTTGAACCAGACCAACAACTTGTTGCAATGAACGTTTGTGGGTGAAGGGGTTTGCTTGATACACCATAGCTACCAAGGGCACTATGACAAATAAATACGTGATAGAGAGCAGGAAAAGACAGAGGGCTGATGGTTTTTGTTTTTGTTTTTGTTTTTGTTTTTTTTTGGCCTTCTTGCTGTAGGAGCAGAATGTATAGAATTGGGTTTTAAAAAATCTATTGATGAAAGTGAATTCCTTGTAAACTGTAATTCCAAGCAGGACGATATAGGTATCAGAGAAGCAATGAAGGAAAACACAAGTTTGATGGTTCTGTAATACAAAGAATTTGTTCAGAAAAGGTTAAGTGAAAGTATGATCTTGAGTTGATAAAGGCAAATAGAAGAGATGGGAGGCAGAGGAAGCCATGGGAAATGTACTCATGCCTGAGGATCTGGAACTATGAGCCTCAGATAAGAGAACATGTGGCATTGCTTTCCTTGGTCTAGATTACCTCCCTAATATTATTGTCCTAGTTACACCTATTTATCTGAAAATTTCATGTGTTTCATTTTCTTTACAGCTGAATAGAGTTGTGGAGCCCATTCCTAAATGACACACCCACAGTATAACTCCTACAACCAAGACCAAGGGATTGTTAAGAGCCACGATCAAGGAATTTTCTGGAGAGTGTGTCTCCTAGTGATGTCAGAAGTACATCCATGAAATCTCAACAACATGATTGCCTAAACATAAGTCAGACAAGGAAACAGCAATAGGCATGCCCAAGTGGATGTGTGTGTGTGTGTGTGTGTGTGTGTGTGTGTGTGTGTGTGTGTGTGTGTGTACATTACAATGAAAAAAGAGGCAATGCAAATGAAGAGAGCAAGAAGGGGTATATGGAAAGGTTTGGAGGGAGCAAAGGGAAGGGAGAAATAATGTAATTATATTATAGTTAAAAAGAAAAGAAATAACAAAAATAAAAGAATCACAGACAACTAAAGGAATGCACATAATACAATTAATTTAAAAGGTCATGAATTTGTAAGAGAGCAAGGAAAGGTATACAGGAGGGCTTGGAGGAAGGAAAAGAAAGGGGGTAAAATATAATTATATCATAATCTCAAAAATAAAAAGAAGTTTGTAAAAAGAAGACCATAAGGTCATTCCTAGTGGGAGAAGACTTTCAAACTCTGGTCCCTAGGGAGGATGTTCTCATCACAGCTTCACTGGAGCCATTGAAAGGGCATATCCAGAGTGGCGGGCTCATAAAGTCCTGAGGCCAGAAGAGACCATAGGGTTTTTATTCAGAGATGTTTATCCATCTGCACTTTAATAGGGATCGTGGTAAAATTACACACACTCCTGACTTTTACCACTAACCACTTAGTCACTGACCTCTCAGGCCCTGGTTACCTCAGCTGTTAAGTGAGGGAGGTGAATCACACGATCTAAGTTCTAGTTTCAACCTTAAAATACGATTGTGTCTGTGAAAAAAATGCCTGTCTGCCTATGTGTTCATTAATCTCTTCCATTCCTTCCCACAGCAGCCTTGTATAATCTAACAACACTCCCCTGCAACTATGTATACTCTAACACTCCACCATGCCCCTGTTTGTTCTAACGTATCAGTGCACCTTTGTATACTGAGTCAACCATCACAGCTCTACTGCCATTGTGAGTGGAATACTTACAGACTGGAAGCAGAAATAACCCACAGTACGGCCTACTGTTTCTGTGGTATTAGTATCATGCCACCTATGGCGAGAGGGAAAGTTTAGCACAAACAAATACATGACACATCTTCACTGGGAAGCTTTGTTCTCATAGGGAAGGAAGGAGGCTGGGAGAAGCTACTTTGCTGAAGAGAGGAGGCCACATGGAGAACAGCTCACATCAGAGGGGCTCTGGTGAGAAGTGCATGTGTCCTGCTGTACTCTGTGGTCTAGAGCAAAGCACAGCTTGCCAGGAGGTCTGTATTCTGTATGTAACACTTCCAGGAGCTGGGTTTACCTCTGGGCAAGATTCTTTGTCCAGCTTCTGCTTTCTGTTTGGGACAGAGCAACAATGCTACAAGTCCCACCGCCCTTTAAGAATGACAAAGTACAGGAATCAAGGGTGTGAAAATTCTGAGTTGTGAGGGGAATTATTTCAGGTGTAGTGAGCATCATGACAAGATAGGAAAGGGCACAACTGCTCACAATGACTCACAATTAGATCCATAGTGGGGGAGGGAGGGAGGGTCACCGGCAGGGAAGCGCCAATGGGATGACGGACAGCAAGGATCTAGCACACTCAGAAGCAGTGTTTACCCTGCAGAGTTTCTAGCCAGACAGACATGAAGGGCACAGTCTGGCTCAGGTTCCTAGGCTATGAACAAACGTGTATCTTGTCTTCCTCTTTTTCTTCATTTCTTCCTCCTCCTTTCCCCCTTTCTTCTGTCTCCGCCATCCACATATAACAAATTTTTACACTGACAGCTTGAATATTCCAAATCCTAGATATACATACAACCTTCCAGTTGTTCGGTTACTTGAAGAAAAATGTCTCAAGTTCCATGACCAGTTAAGTGTGACTAAAGGAGACTCTCGGCTTTTTCTCCCAGCCAGGCTCAGATTGGGGTCCACAGAAAGGCCTGGGCAACCATAACTTCAACTGGTAGAGACCACTTAGTTTCTTTCTTTTTCTGTTGATGTGATAAAAATGTTCCTGACAAAAGGAACACTGGGAAGGAAGGTTTTTGTTTTTTTCCTGGCTCAGTGTTAAAGGGTATAGTCAATCAATCATAGCAGGGAGGAAAGGTGACAGGCACTTAGTGTAGCTGGTCACATTGCATCCAGAGCCAGGAACAGAGGATTGAATACTAATACTTGGCTTGCTTTGACTTTCTGCATAATCCATGCAGAGGGAATGGGCCAGCCCAGAATTAAGAAGTCTTCCTACATCAAGGTACTTGGCATAAACATGCCCAGAAGCCTGTCTCCCAGGCAAGTCTAGATCCTGTCAAGTTGACAACACTGATCGTTATGCCCAGGATCAGGTGTGCAGAGCCCATCCCTCCCCCTCCTTCCGAAACCCCACTTCTTTTCCTGCGGGTAGGCATAGAGGGAAGGCTGCATACTCTGTGCCAACCAGAATAAAGAGTTTTGAGGTCCTACATCATTGAGCCTTAGTGTCCATTTTGTAGGAAGATACTCCTCTGGGGGCAGAAGGGAATAGTCAGGAGAGTGTGATAAGAGTATGGTGAGGCCCATGGTAAGGCAAATCACATGAGAACGGCCTAACAGGCCAGCTAAAAAACAACATCCTTTAGAAGTATAAGTTCTGTATGTAGTTGTGGTTAAAAAAAAAAAAAAATTCAAATAGTCAAACACAGCATCCTGGGAACACATGCTGGATGTTCTCATTGCTGGATTTAGAGGATGGATCATATATGCCTATAACAACAGTACTAAGTATAGCTTCTATTCCAAGCATGGTGCTAAGTGCTTTACAAACACAGAAAGCCCTGGCAGCAAGGCAAGTATCATTATTCTCAGCAATCTGGGCCAGTGGTTCTCGACTCCCCTAATGTTGTGATTAAAATAGTTCTTCATGTTGTGGTGACACCAACCATAAAATCATTTCATTGCTACTTGTAATTTGGCTACTGTTGTGAATCATAATGTAAACATCTGCTCTATGGGTCCCAAAGAGGTCTCGACCCACAGCTTGAGAACTGCTGATATAGCAGCAGACAGCAGGATTGGAAAGCAACACCAAGGACAGTGAAGTTAAAAGGAATAGAAGCAAGAGCCACACACTGGTCTGTCTGCATCGGGAGCCCGGGCTTATTAGATTATGCTATGCAGCCTCCGAATTTATCTTTTGAAGATTTCACCTGAGTCCCCCTTACTTCTAGGCCTTCTACTTAAGGGAGAAGGAAGGCACAGAGGAGGGGACAAAAGCCACACAAGAAAGAAGAAGAGAATCATACCACTTCCCCAACTGTGGTGCTTGCTTTAGTAAAAACATGGCACAGCTGCAGTGTCCAATAACTTCTCTGGTGTCATGCCCTGTGAGCTTCTATGGAAAGGCTGGGATGAGGACATAGGACTGCGAGCTTGCAAGGGACTTGAGTGCAGGATGACTCAGACACAGACCCAGTGAAGGCAAGTCTAGATGTCTGGACCCTCAATGAAGGACCACATGGGGTCAACCTGGGGCTCTTCCCACACCTTGACCCACAGGTGCTTTGGTGCTGATGCCCGTCTGCTCACCTTTCTGATCCCAGATCTCTCCCTTGGACTCTTGCCCCTCACTCCATGACCACAGTCCAGGAAAACAACAGAAGGGATCTAACTCATCTGGATCACATTAGTTCCTTGTATCATGTTATTTACATTCATGAAATGCAGTATCTTGAGATCACATTTGGTAAAAACTTTTCCTTAAAAACACTTTTATTCTCTAATCCTCTTTTTATTGGTTAGAAGCAAAACAAAATGGATCATATATTTAAAGGCAGAGACAAGACGGAAAAAAGAGAGAGAGAGAGAGACATACCATTCTAGAAATGTTTAGCAAGCAAATACCCGGAGAATATTTATCCACGTGGTTACCCTAGGATATGTGAAGGGAAACGTGAAAGCAATTTTCTTGGCTATCATCACTTTAATATGAAATTTAAACCCAAATACAGCTGCAGGCACATTCCTATAATGGGGGAGAGCACTGTCCTTAGGGAGGGTGCGCAGGATTCTTACCTGGCATGACCAGGGCCTGTGGGGCTGCAGCATCAGTGCTCAGGCAGAGACGCCCACCTTTAGCTAATCTATCACAGAGCAAAGTGATGTGCTTCTTCAGCCGGCTGGTGTCTTTGGGTATGGTCAGTTGGCTGCTGAGGCTCAAAGCTTGCTCCTTGGAACTCTTCGACAGGCAGGTTTTCAATAGGTGGGCAATGGCAGCATCCACTGTTTCTTCCCAGCCCTGCATGCAAAAGCCAATTTGGAATTTGTACGCAAATGATAATGAGTCAAGTGGCCTTTTTTTTTTTTTCTTTTTTACTGTTAACAAGGTCTTCATGTGGTGAGCTACTAATTCTTCTTGACAGCCCCCTCCAAGGATTCAAGTGACTGAATGAGTTGGAATGTGAGAAGCACTTTGCCCGGTGCCGGGGAGAGAATAACCAATAATATCTATATCCACTGCAGGCCTGTTTAAGGATCTGGTGGCTCAGACTACCTGCCACGTCTTTTGCCTTACATTCTCCTGAAGAGGGTCTGGCACATCAGAACACCTAGATACCATGGGGGCAACTGGGATGGAGAGAAGACCCTGGCATTACAGTTGCTTGGGCCATAGCCTTGAGGTGGTGGACAAAAGCTAATAGCACTAGTTTCAAGAGTGATTTTTGGAAGTTATAAGGGCCTATCTAGTCCCATTTAAATATAGTGGCAAAAAAAAATGACACAAAAAATAGCCATTTGCCCCACTTAGGAGCAGTTGTTCTGGGCTAGTAAAGACCTGAAGAAGTGAGGTGTCACCTTAAAATGTGGAGGCTGTAATTCTTGGAAAATCAGTACTGCACTGGGAGCCCAGCATCACCAGAGAAGACGGTAGCACACTGGACTAGCTCCAAAGGGACCTCCCACAGGCAGGTTCAATGGGTGAAGTGTACAAGGCAGGAAGAGCCAGGAAAAGATCTCCATGAGGTACCCCAAGAAGAACTGGGTGAGATTCTTATGACAGAGAGCCTACGGGCATAAAAATTAGGACACTTGCCCTCCTCTGTTTCCTAGGAATCCTACCCCAAAGCCTGGCCTCCAGTCATCTCTGCTCTATTGGTAAGCTGAATGCACAATGAGTTACAGCTCAGGAGCTCAGGATCCTTCCTCGAGGGCATGTTCTTCCTTCTAGGCACTAGAGTCAGTTGACTCTTAAACCAAAATTGAGACTCCATATATACCCACTAGAGCACTTCCCACCAATCTCCATGAGCACTAAACCAAGACTTTTGGTTCGACTGTGTTAGATGCCGCCAGGCAAATTAAGGGAGGAAGGAAGGAAGGAAGGAAGGAAGGAAGGAAGGAAGGAAGGAAGGAAGGAAGGAAGGTGTGAAAATCCTTTCAAGGGCACCTTAAAGACTTTTAAAACTGGCCAGGAGTTGGTGGCGCACGCCTTTAATCCCAGCACTCGGAAGGCAGAGGCAGGTGGATCTCTGTGAGTTCGAGGCCAGCCTGGTCTCCAGAGCGAGTGCCAGGATAGGCTCCAAAGCTACACAGAGAAACCCTGTCTCGAAAAACAAAAAAAAACAAAACAAAACAAACAAAAAAAAAAACCTATAACATAATAACCCAAAAGCTGCTACAAAACATCTTTCTACTACTAGCAAAACTGACACTAGACTAACATCTAAAACTGACTTTAGTAAGACTCTCAGGATGTATTTCTAAATTGCTTTTGGAGCCTTTGAAAAAGTTCTCTGAGTATAAGAGTGAGTCCTGCAAACATGATATGTACTCACTCATATGTGGATTTTAGACATAATGTAAAGGATTACCAGTCTACAATCCACACTGCCAGAGATGCTAGTAAACAAGGAGGACCCTAAGAGAGACATACATGGTCCCCTGGGGCAGGGGAAAGGGTCAAGATCCCCTGTGCAAATTGAGAGCATGGGAAGAGGGGGGAGGGAGCTATGAGAATGAGAAGGGAAGAAGAGGAGGGATGCAGACGTCATAAGGGAGCAGAAAGGTTGAGTCAGGGGAAGGATAAAAGAAAGGATATGTGACAGGTAGGATTTTATTTGGGGGGGTGGTAGGGAAGGAAAGGAGGGAGAAGGGAACTGGAATTGTCATGTAAAACAATATTGTTTCTAATTCAAATAAAAAAATGATTAAAAAAAAAAAAAAGAGGTGAGTCCTGGAGTATCATTTAGCATCTATACACTCTGAGGACCTTTCAGCATTAACACAGCTTCTATGTCATCTCCACAAGCTGCCACATTCACAAACAGACTACAGCAGCTTACTAGAAAGTAAAAGAGAGTATGTAATCAGCACAGAGCACAACTACAAAACTTCTTGCTGCCAACTCGCAGAGCAAGAAAAAAAAAAAAAAATCTTGGACTTTCCAAATACAGCACAAGAATGGAGGGGAATACTAAGTGCTCTTGAGAAAACTTCAAGAAAAGAAGAGTCTTGTGACCTCAGTGCCTTCAAAAATACAGAGCTGTTCTTATAACACGCTTTTGCAACCCTCCCAGTTGTAGGCAATAGGAGTGTGTTTGCTTTAGATTATACATGACAATTGGCTAGCATTAATCCATAGACATGTACAGCTTGACTTGTGATTGTACACTTTACTCATGTGACTCGTCTTAAACCTCAGAGCACTGGTACTCAACCTGTGGGTCATGACCCCTTTGAAGGTCACATATTAGATATCCTGCATATCAGATGTTTATGATTATGATTGATAACACTAGTAAAATTTCAGTCATGAAGTAACAACAAAAATGGATTTTATGGTTGGGGGTCACCACGACATGAGGAACTGTGTTGAAGGGCCACAGAATTAGGAAGGTTGAGAACTATTGTCTCAGAGTACAAACTGTACGGTGCTCTGAACAAAGCTGGCTATTGCACAAAACTTTAGTCGGCCTTATTCTTAGGTTCCCTTCTCCTATGTTCCACTGCCAACTAGAGCGGGAACCAATGTGTAGGTATTTAGCATAGATATTGCTTTAATGTAATGAGATGTAGTAACAATATTAGAAAGATTACTAATCAAATATTACTTAGAGGGCTTAAGCTGCTGCATAAATCAAATACAATTACAAAAGAGAGAGCTTTTGAGATAAGAGCCCGTGACAAAGGAGATTGGTATAGAAAAGTTGATGTGATAACTTGATTAAACAAATAGCATAGCTATCTAATAAAATATAAAACAAAACTTTTCAGAAAGTAGACACTCAGATGTGAGGAGCTGGAAGATAAGCTGACTCCATTGATGCTGACTCCATCGACTTCAGAAGCACTTTCAGCACACATGTACCCCTGCACACACCAAGCTTTTATTCTCTATTCATGCCAATAACTTGCCTCGTATTTCAAGAGTGAAATTCAATACTAATATGGGGAATTACCACTAAAAACTTCCAGAAAAGAAGTAAGCATGTGTCCTTTTGTGAAACTAGCTTTGGCTTTAGTTCTCAAGTCACTCTCCTTACTCTAACATTGCACTTGACCAATGTATTCCCTAAGTAAACAAGCATGTGTGGAGTGGGAAGGAGGGAGAAAAGGATGGGTTTAAATGCACATTTTATTTTACTTTGCCTTCTTTATAGCCCCTTTCATCACTGGAAATCAACTTGTTCAGAGTCAGGGTTGGGGGTTCTTTGTCTCCTCTAGACTGGATATTTGGATTTTTGCCTTTTTGTTTTTCTCAAGATCTTGGCTCTTCCCCACTGTGTGAACCTCATGACTTAGCCCCTGCCTTAGGCCCTCTTGGAATGTTACTCTGACAAGCTGGACTGCCTGGCTTCTCCTAGGTGCCCTGTGAGGAATTGGACAATGGCCTTGCTTCATGACCGAATTCAAGGAAAAAAAAAAAAAAGTCCCCAAATGGGTAAAACTACTGATTTACATGTAAAGCATTACATGACCCCTTTGCCTCTGTCTTCCTCTCTCCCCTCTAGTTTGCCATTGGGGACCACACAGAAGCTTCAGTATTTTAGGCTGTGGCTGCACGCAGCTGCTTTCTTTGTCAAGGTCACCATGGGTAAGACACAGCTGCGGGAAGAGCCCTCACTAGACTTCTATTTTGATAATCCTCAAAAAGAATGCAAATATGGAGAAGTATCTAGAATAGTACCCTGAGTAACCCTAATAGTAAAATGTAACGTGCCACTTTCTCCATAGGAATCAGATGAGAATAAGGCTAGTAACAATATGATGTGGTACAGCTTTAAATGGTTGTGTACGCTAAATAAAACTCCAGGGGAAGTCCTAGAGACATCTATTTTATTTTTATCTTTTTATCAATTAAAAACTGAAAGACGCTCAGCTATGGCTCCTTCCTTTAAGTACACTGCATCACTAGTAATAGCAAAATCTGTAACTATAGTGATATAGAAAATGAAATATATTAGAATGGTACATTAAAGAGCTTTAAGATAATTTCTTTTATCCTCTAGCCCTTGTTCTAGAACCCAAATTTCCCTTATTTATATGAAAGGTGCTTCTGGTCAAGAATTCTTGTTCTGTGATGGAAAACTCAAGAGCCTGTCTTTTCCTGTAACTTCCGCCCTCAAATTCAAACCATTCATTGGCTCCTTTTTAGTAAAAGTCTAAATGTTATTCTTAGCTCTGCATCCGTTTGTCAATTCTGTGACAGCCTCCTCCCCGATATTTGTACATTTGCATATCTATGAAGCAGGGACATATCCTATTCTCAGTGGGATCCAACAACTCCTGGCTTTCTGTCTTGGGACACAGTGCATGTGACTTTATCTTAGCTTGTCTTAATATGCCATTTCTCCCAGTTATATGCAGTGTTCATGCTGCCTCGGCTAATTAACTGGTATTTAAAATATCTTCTATCAGCCAGCTAGATGATTCAGCTGGTAAGGATACCAAGCCTGACAACATGAGTTCAGTCCCTGGAACCCACATAGTAGACAGAACTGATTCCTACATATGTATAACATGGCAAACATTAGTGCATGAGCATACACACACATTTTTTTTTAAACTATCTTGTCATTTAACAAAAATATTTCTGTATGTACAGAAAAGCAATGAAATAGTATGGACTTAAATTTAGTAAAGCAAGTATTCATGGGAGATAAAAGGCAGCAATTTCTCGCCCCCCCTTTTTTTCATTGTAAAGCATAGCCAAATGTTTCCTATGTTATAAGGCAAAAAGATGCCCCCAAAGTAAGCCTGTTACTAAGACGAAGTGCATACATTCCTACCTTGTGTAAG